GACCCCGCCTCCCGGGTTAGGAAGGCCGGGAGCCGGAGCGGGGGCGGGGGGAGCCTGCCACGCACGCGGGGCGCGGCGGGCCCCTCCCCTGCCGCCACGACCCCAAAGGGAGGGGCCGGGGGCGGGGGCGGGGTCTCGGGAGGGGCGGGGGGTGGGGGTGGGGGATGGGGGATGGCGGTGGCCGATCGGGGTCTACGGGGGCCGAGGGGTGCGGGCTGGCCGAACGGGGCTACGGGGCCCGGGGCAGGCGGCTGAAATGGGGGAGAGCGGGAGGGCAGCCGGGCGGGGTCTGCGGAGCCGGGGGCCGGCGGCCGAGGTGGCCCAAGGGAGGGGGCGAAGGGCTGGGTGGACCGGTGCTGAGACTGGCGACTGAGCTGGGGCCACGGGGGCCTCGGGGATAGGCGGCCGAGGTGGGGGTGGCCAGGCCAGGCGGGTCGGAGGGAGGAGAGTTGGGGATGCCACGGTGCAGAGGGCCAAGGGCGCGCCCCCTCCCTTCTCGACCTGTGCGGAGAGAGGAAATGAGGAGGGCGCCCCGGGAACCCTGCCCCTGGGAGGAGTAGGGGGGCGGGAACAGACCCCCCCATTCCTTCCCGCTGGGAGTTGGGGCATCCCCGCCCCTCCCGTCCCCACATGCCATCCTCCGAGCCCGCCACGGGGCCAGGCCCTGTCTCTTCCCCTGGGTTTGCAGGCGGAGGCTGGAAGAGCTGTCCCTAAAACCCCGTCAACCCGGAGGCGCGAGTGGGCCGGTTAGCGGAGATTGTCGGGCTGTGTGAGGTCTGTTCGTGGAAACACACGTATTGAGTGTCTCCTTCGCCCAGTCAGTCCACTGTCAACGCTGTTTACTTTTTTTCTGAAGCCTGGTCAACGGCGTTATTTTCTGGGGGGCGAGGGGGGTCCCCGCAGTCTGTCCAGAGCCCCTACTAGCGACAGGTTCTGGAAACCAGCCGCAGGGCACTAACAGGGAGGGCATAGGGTTGTGGCCCCCACGTCGACAGGAGCCAAGACTGTGCGTAGCAACTTACACGTGTTCTTAAAACTGCAGAAACCTGGTAAGGCCGGAATTATTCTACCCGTTTTACAGGAAGGAAACTTGAGGCTGAACCTCCACCTCAAGGTCACATTCAGCCACCTGCTTCTTCCAGAGTCGGTGCTGCTTAATCACTTCAGAATGGGAAGGAAATGGGACCCCCATGGAAATGAAGCAACTTCCCACTCTAGGGCTAGTTGCTGCCGGGGTAGGGACCAAACCCCACTACACTGCTTTCCTCCCGAACCTGGTGTCTGGGGTGTGTCGCACTGGGTGTGCCCAGCAATGTGCTGTAGGAACACAGTTTCTTCTGCCTGTTCTCTCAATTCTATTTTTCAAAAACACTCCCTGTTCTTAAGGCCGAGCTCAAATGCCACGTCTTTCATGATGCCTTCCCTATAACAGCACCTGACACCTCTCGGGGGACTTTGAGACAGCAAATAATTGACCATATATATGTTCGAAACAGCAAGCCTTTGTTTAGCTCCCACTATGTTACAGGCAGATGTCTGCAAACTATCAGCCTCCCCTCCTTGAGGACAGGAAGCAACCATTGCTTATGTTTCTCTTCGTATCTCACCTGGTAAGGTGCTTTTAAAAATCTCTAGCGAATGAATGAACACATGAGTGCTGCCCTCAAGGGGCCTGCATTACATTTGGAGAAACGTGCAGAAACGTTTTGAAGCTAAAGAGTATGGTTGAGAATATACATGTAAAGGGAACTTGAAAAACAAACCCCTGGACTGCGCATGGGGAAGTCTTCTGGGCCAGAACGGTTTTGAGCAAAGCCTTGAAGAATGGATTTGCATAGGAGGAGAGCAGGGGGGATATTTCTGTGGCAAAAATGGGGTGAGCCCAGGACACCTGCCTGATCTGAAGGGTGTGTGGTGCAATATAGAAAAGAAAGAGATGAGCTGGGTGGAGTGGGTCCAGATTGCAGCCAGCCAGTCAGGCAGAAGAGTCACCATTAGTGTGGGAGGCTAGAGTAAATTATAGTAGGTTCTACAAATATAATCATCTGCGCCTAGTTCAACCGGGCACACAACTCTGACCTTGGGTGGAAAACAGAACACTAACTCATCAGAAGGTGCTAGGAAAGCCTTGTTTAAACCTTCAGCTGAGTTCTGATTGTGTTTAGGATTTCGAGCACACACGAGCGATCATCCTCCTTCAAGCAGCCATCCATATTAAGGCAGAGACAGCAATAACTTGCAAAACAGCTTTGGGGGCCCAGCCAAGCTCGCCTGGGGGGCAGGAGCCCTACTTTGTTAGCCCTAGTTCTGCCACCAAACTCAAGGTGACCTTGAAACTCACACTTAACCTCCTCTCTGGATTTCATGGTCACCCTTTCTGCCTCTCTAAAGACCTTTCTTATTAGTAATCTAGTTGTTTAAATATAATTTTATTGATTTCAGAGAGGAAGGGAGAGGGAGAGAGAGATAGAAACATCAACAACGAGAGAATCATTGATCAGCTGCCTCCTACACGTGCTTTGACCTGGAATTGAACCATGACCTCCTGGTTCATAGGTCAGTGCTCAACCACTGAGCCACATCAGCTGGGCTATTAATCTATTTCTTAGAGAAAATAGTCATCTAATTGTTACCAGAAATAATTAAATATTTAATTTTTTTAAGTTGATTTAGACTGTAAGCCAGCTATAAAAGTGGGGTTGTTTTTTGTTTTGTGGTTTTTTTGTGTGTTTTTTTTCCCTCAATTTTCTGACTCTACCAAGCCCTGGAAGAATAGAGGGGAGCCGGAGGGGACTGTTACTATTTTCAGTATTTCTCCTTCCTCCTTTTCCTCTGGGAGGTAGTGAAGTACAGTGGTTAAGACACAGGGTCTGGAATAGACTGACTTGCGTTCCAAGTCATTTTTGTGACAGACAGGGGAACGTGACCTCTCTGAATCTCTGTCTTCATCTGTGAGGCGGAGGTAATAAGAACTACTTCACCGGGTTGTTGTGAGGATTAAATGAGAGACACTATATAATACTGGGCACATAGCAAGGCTCAGTGAATAAGGGGGAGCTAACACAATTTGCAGAGTCATTGAGGGGAAAGTATAGCTGCACAGACCTTGTACGTCTGGGTTTCAATGATTTTCTTTCATCATTATTTCTTGGCGCTTCCAGCACCATATGTGGCTTATAGACCGCAGGCTCTGATGTATTTAACTTGACAAAGCGGGCACTGTCTTCCTCTGAAGCCTGGTTCCACGGTGGTGTTTGGCTGCACCCAGAGGAGGAGGTTGGTAAGTAGGCGTGAAAGTACACCTTCTAGGGCAGGAAGGCACTGACAAGTCTCCATGGAGGTTTCCATTCTTCTGCCCCGTCTTCTGAGTCAGCACAGCATGCACTTAGTCGAAGTTTTCCTTCTTTTCCCTCTAGAGTTCTCTCTTCCTTTTCCGCTTTATCCTCCCTAAAGTGTGTTGATGGCCCCCTAGCTTGTCCCCTAGCTGGGGACAGTGAAACAAGAAAGGGCCGGAGAAATGAGCCTAGGCTTTGGCTCACCAAGAAGTCAGAGAAAAAGAGGCCTCGGGACAGGTTCAGGGGGTTTGCCTGGATGAATTGCCACTGCCCGTCGCTGCCCTGGTTGCAAGCCTGGTGGGGTTCCTTAGAGTGTAGGAGGTGCATACCTGTGGGGAAAGGAGGGGGTGGGAGTCCTGGGCATGCTCAGAGAGTGCGTGCTCTGGGACCTTTGTGTTGAGGGGTTTTAAAGACAGGGCGTTTAGGGGGGATCTCAATAGAACATTCATCATCTTTATGCTGATGAACCAAAATGAGGTTTATTCTCTTCATCTGTCCTTGGCTGTGGTTGGCAAAAGGCACTAGTTGGATTTCTGCTATCCGTCTCCCTGAGTAGGGTGATTTCAGCTATTTACCCTCTGGTGGGGAGGGAACCGTGCAAACCATTTATTCTTAAGTGTCCCTGGTTTAGAGAAGATGGGATTTACTAGATGGCTGCTTGGCACCCGGATTTTCTAGATGGCTGTAAACTGCTGCCTAACTATCTGTCTCCGTTTCCCTATCCCACTTGTCCTGGCTTCCCCCTTCAGCGACTTCCATCCCTGAAATCTTTTCAAGGTGATGAGGGAGGGCAGTCTGTCTTCAGTAGCTGCTTCCTGCTGACAGAGGCTGTGGTCCCTGCCTGTATAAAGTATGGAAGTCTCTCCCTGTCTGATTTAAGGGGGACAAGGGAATGGGATCAGAGACTGGGACAGAGAGGCTGCTAGCTGATTCTTCCAAAGTAGGGACAAGCTTGAATCCCCGGAACATCATCGTCTTGATATGGAATTCTATCATTCCAGAAGTGAGGTTGGCAGATTGCTCCATATTTCATTGACTCAATTATTTCGTCCTGAAAATAAGTCAGTG